GGCATCCCTGGTTCTATCCCTGGGGTCCCTGGGGCGTTCCTAGGTTGTCCTGGGGTCCCTGCGGCGTCCCTGCATCTCCCCTGGGGGGCCGGACCCCGCTGGGTCCTCACTTCGGTGCCAGACGCAGGATCCTCCCTTGGGTTCTGGGTCCCGCTGGATCCCTGGGGTGGCCCTGCGTCCCCACTGGGGTCCCTGGGGCGTCCCTGTATCCCCCCTTCTGTCCCTGGGGCTTCCCTGGGTCCCCCTCCGGGGTCCCTGGAGTGTCCCTGGGTCCCCACCCTGTGGGGTCCCTGGGGCGTCACTGTATCCCCCCCCCCCGGTGTCCCTGGTTCGGCCCTGGTTCAGCCCTAGGGTCCGTATGGAGTCCCTGGATCCCCCCGTGGTGTCCCTGGGCATCCTTGGGGGGACTCTGGGGCCCTGGAGTCCCTGGTTCGACTGAGGGTCCCCCCAGAGTCCCTGGGGCGTCCCAGGGTCCCCCCCCCCATGGTCCCTTGTTCAGCCGAGGATCCACCCCGGGGTCCCTGGGGCGTCCCTGGGGTCCCTGAGGCATAACTGGGTCCCCTCCAAGGGTTCCTGGGGCGTCCCTGGATCCCCCACGGGCTCTCTGGTTCGGCTCTGGGCCCCAACCCGGGGTCCCTGGCCCTGGCCCTGGCCCTAGCCCTGACCCTGGCCCTGACCCTGGCCCTGACCCTGGCCCTGTATTTTATTGCAAATAAATAAAATAAATAAATAATAAATAAATAAAATAAATAAATAAAGGTACTATTCTTGGTCCTGGCCCTGGGCCTGGCCTTGTCCCTGTATTTTATTGCGAATAAATAAAATAAATAAATAAATAAATTAAATAAATAAATAATAAATTAAATAAATAAATAAACCTCTTCATCCAGGTCCTGGTCCTGGTTCTGGCCCTGACCCTGGCCCTGGGCCTGGCCTTGGCCCTGTAATTTATTGCTAAAAATAAAATAAATAAAATAAATAAAATAAATAAAAAACGCACAGAGGCGGCGCGGCGGCCAGACGCACAGAGGCGGCGCGACGGCCACAACCTGGAAACAACCTAGATGCCCTTCAATGGAAGAATGGATGAAGAAAGTATGGAATATATACATATTAGAGTATTACTCAGCAGTAAAAAACAAGGACTTCTTGAATTTTGCATACAAATGGATGGAAATAGAAAACACTATCCTGAGTGAGGTAAGCCAGACCCAAAAAGAGGAACATGGGATGTACTCACTCATATTTGGTTTCTAGCCACAAATAAAGGACATTGAGCTTATAATTCATGTTCCTAGAGAAGCTAAATAAGAAGGTGAATCCAAAGACAAACACATAGGCATCCTCCTGAATATTAACCTTCATCAGGCAATGAAAGGAGACAGAGACAGAGACCCACATGGGAGCACCGGACAGAAATCTCAAGGTCCAAATCAGGAGCAGAAGGAGACGGAGCACGAGCAAGGAACTCAGGACCACGAGGGGTGCACCCACACACTGAGACAATGGGGATGTTCTATCGGGAACTCACCAAGGCTAGCTGGACTGTGACTGAGTCTACCCACAGGGGCCCTGGGGCATCCCTGGGTCCCCACTGGGGTCCCTGGGCATCCCTGGGTGTCACTGCAGTCCGTGGGGCATTCCTGAGTCCCCCATGGGGTCCCTGGGGCGTCCCTATGTCCCCCCTGGGGTCCCTGGGCGTCCCTGTGTCCCCTACCAGGGTCCCTGGTTCGGCCATGAGTCCCCCTGTGGTCCATGTTTCAGCCCTGGGTCCCACCCGGGGTCCCTGGGGCGTCCCTGGGTCCCCCCCCCGGAGTCCCTGGGGCATCCCTGCGTCCCCCCCCAGGGTCCCTGAGGCATCCCTGGGTCTGCCCTTGGTTTGCCTGGGGCATCCCTGGGTTCCCCCAGGGGTCTATGGGGTGTCCCTGGGTCCCCACTGGAGTCCCTGGGGCATCCCTGGATCCTCCTGTGGTCCCTGGGGAATCCCGGGTCTCCCCTGGGGTCCCTGGGGCATCCCTGGGTCCCCTCTTCAGTGACAGACCCCGGATTCCCCACCCCTGGGGTGCCTGGGGCATCCCTGGGTCTGCCCCAGGAGTCCCTGGGGCATCCCTGGGTCCCGCCCCAGGGTCCCTGGCGCGTACCTGGGTCCCCCCAGGGGTCCCTGGGGCGTCCCTCGGTCCCCCACGTTATCCCTGGTTCGGACCTAGGTAACCCCGGGGTTTCTGGTTCAACCCTGGGTCACCCCCAGGGTCCCTGGATCGGCCCTGGGTCCCCCCCTGAAGTCCCTGGTCCTGGCCCTGGTCCTGGCCCTGGCCCTGGCCCTGGGGTCCCTGGGGTCTCCCTGGGTCCCCCCCGGGGTCCCTGGTTCAGCCCTGGGTCCCTGGGGTGACCCTGAGTCCCCCCCGGGGTCCCTGGGTCCCACACAGGGGTCTCTGTGGCATCCCTGGGTCCCCCCTGGGGTGCCTGGCCCTGGCCCTGACCCTGGGCCTGGCCCTGGCCC